CGTCTCGATGTCCATCATCAAAAAAATACACCTGTCCGCTTTTCAACTAATATTCCACGATCCTAATCATCAAGCTTCTAATCAATATACATCCTGCGTTCGTTATATTTAAATCGCTGATTATTATATTGCACAACTGGCATCTTACATTTCTATACCTCTTGCATTTAATGGAATGCGATCTTTGGAATTTCTATTCAAATGCAACGCTTTTATTTCCTTATTGAGTGATTTTATCGATTTCTGCTTTTAATATTCATAATGACATATTCCAGTGGCAAAAACAAAAACACCTCAAACTGAGTACAGACTAGAGCATTGGCAGGGCGAGGCCGCACAAATGTACAAGTGTGTACGTCCATTTGAGGCAAGGAATTTTAAAGAAAATGCGTCCTCAATGTGGACAGTCGGGTTAGGTCCGCGTCCATTCTGATAGAGATGCATCAAAGACGGCTCGGGGCTAGAACAACACGCGATACTGGATAATCCGTGGGCGCACGGATTACCATGTCTTTACCACGACCAGGACAATTCAGCAATTATTTGGCGCCTAATCCATATACCTTATATACATAACGCCCACCACCAAAACATTCGCATTAGCTTCACCTATTATTATTTGACTGATGCTAATTTCCAATTCTTCACCTCGTTACAATAATACAATATTAATATAAAAAAGTGCGAAATTATTAATAAAAATTATACTCATGACGTAAAAATATTTGGCAATAATGGACGACCCGACGAGGGATGCAAAAACCGGTTCGGAACTAAACCCGTCGAACTCATTTAAAACCATTGTGTTTTTAGAAGAAAACGATGAACCGAACTTTTTAATCAAAGTTTATTGTTATCAATTGACTTCTCAAAAAAATCTGATATTAGTTTTTTTTGTTTTGAGCTGGATCCGTCTCTGCGTGTTCGCTAAATGATCTCGTGGTGAATAAATCGTATTTCGAATATTGCCGTATTTAATAAGTACTTATTACGTACCGCGTAATAAAAAATAATTAATTGTAAGCATGTGCGGTTTAACGAAAGCTTACTCTCGAAGAATATCAAATAAATCTTGATGCTTGTTTTTTCTTAATAAAAAAAAATCGGTCGACAAAAACTGATGTATGCAGCAATATTGCGTGATCTGGTTCAGTCAGATAAAGCAAAGAATGACCGAAAGAGCAAACCGCACTTTAGATGTAAATAATTTATTTTTTATAAAGTAACAGTAAACTGAAGAAGAAATACCCGATGGGAAATCCTATATTACCATTGCGAATTACTGTTATCGTTAATTATTATCTATATTGCTTAAATGTAGCGTCTGAAAAATATGGTGTGTTCGAAAAAAATAGCGAAAATTTCATATAGTTGATCATGTTTATCTTATAGTCTGAAAAATGCAGTAAGTTCGAAGATGGGTTAGAAAAACGGCGAAATTTACATCCAGATGATAATATTTATGCATAACTTTCCTAGAAATTGATTGCGTTTCTGGGGAATAATGCATTAAATCATTCGGGAAAAGTTTGTTTTCGCTCATTAATTTCTTACCCCGGACATTTCGGCTCGACTATTCCGGGATGTGCGAAAGTACTAACAAAATAAATTTCAGGAATTTACGTTGCAAGTCTGCCTAGTCGGAATTTGTTCAACATATTCGTCTTTTTGCGTTTTCTTTTTATTTTTTGCTGTTTCTGCTGCTGCTGGTGCTGCGATTCTAGCAAATAGCCCACTAAAAATAGGACCGGGGTATTTAGAATATTTGTATTATTCACGTGTATTTAAAAATAAATAAGGGATCCTCAAGGAAGGAATTAGTCACATAATAGAGTATTTTTAATGTATTATTTTCAAGTGTTTATTTATGGCTCGAGGAAATGTAAGGTGATATAAATACTCGGATGCAGATATGTTATAAATCGCTAATGTGTCGATCGATGGTCGGGGCTTGTAATTAAAACCGACACTTATTTTAGATGGAATGATGAAAAATGTCTGCATGAGCGTTAACCTTGAATATATTAAGAAAGTAATATGCGAAGAGTTTGTGTGTGCGCGTGCATTTACTTGTGTGTAAGTGTATGAGTGTGTATATATATATTTATATATAGGTTGATAATGGGTACAAAGAGACAAAGATGCTATTGAATTCCTTCCTAGTTGAAGGCGCAATGGTGAGAAAGTTGCCGAGCTTTTTGCTTTTGGTTTCTAACAGTTCTGATAATATATTGCACATTAGAAAATTATTCATGCGACGGAGCGCAAAAATTGGGCACCGTCATTTGAGCTAATGTTTCTTACTATCGAGTTAAGCCTTCTTAACCGTCGGTTATTACAGTTAAGGATGGGCAGAAATCTACACGTGAGTGATTCAGATAGTGAGTGCCGTAAATAAAGCGGGCGTGCGCAGACAGTTTGGTATTGCGACTATAATGTGATGCTATTTTGGGGTGTCTGGTTTTGCTGCCAACTGCTGCCCTGACACACATCATTATACCACCCTCTGGCCACTTAGCACACTCTTATAAACTTCTTGAATCATTGTCAAACGATATCTCCTCCGTCTGCCTGCACCGAAAATAAATAAACCCGCATTAATTTCCCCAATATGACATTTGCACTTTACAAAACAACCAAAAAAAAAAACGAAAGGAAAACGTTCAGCGATCTCCGAAAACGGCTCTCCCCCAATATGCGTTCTACTCCAACAAACACATTTCCGTTCCGTTTATATTTTATACGCATATATTTTTCAACATCATTACGTCATGTAACCTTTCCAAACCTAAATACACCCATCACAAAACCCTCTCAAACAATAATTAAAAAAATAAGTTTAAAAAAAAACGGAAGAGTTCCCATCAAGTCGGTAATTTATGAAGCCTCTTCAAAAGTAAAGATTAGTTATATAATCCTCTATTAACAGTCATCTGTCAACTTGGAATAATAAACAGAGCGGTATATCCAACTATAATGCGCAAGAGTTTGTTTGTTTGTTTGTCGATTTACTTGAATTTCAAACGATATTCGGGGAATGAAAACGAAAAAAATTTGTATACACAAAATATACTAAATTTATTTCGTCTACTGTTCGTATATTTAGAAGTGATTCTGCAAAGAAGATGGTAAAAAGAAGACAAAGAAAAAAGGAGGAATTAAACCAGAGGCGAAGAAGCTCATTCCCCCAAACAATTCGAATTCTTTTTTTCGATATTGGTTCGGAATACAGAGATACGGGATTTACTCCGCTATAAGTAAGTTAAATATAGCTGGAACTAAAAATGTGCAACGAAGCATAGAAGAGACAAATCCAGGGACGATAATGCCTCCATTTATAAACTGGAGGAAAGTGTACATCGAATCTAATTGATTTTCAAGTACAAATTTTTCACATCAAAATTCTTAAATACAATGAAATTACCAAATTTGTTTAAACATACAAAAAAAAACAATGTTTTATAAACGATTAGAATTTACAGAAGAATACTTTATTTCATTTATTCGTTATTTTTAATGCGCAACGTTTCATCATATTTCGTTTACTGCAAAAAAGCGTTTCTTGTTTAAATAGATTTAACTAATATTTTTATTAGTTACTTTCATATATGCAACCCAAATTACTTGCACTAGCATTTTTCCGTACCTGTAAAAAAAATAAATAGGTAATAGGTGAGATTCTAAGCGAGAATTACGCAAAGAAGAAATTCTTGTTGCACGAACGGAAATATGTTATAAATGAAGTAATCAGGAATGTCTAAGAGGTTGTTAGGATCGATAAAATTACGAGAATGAATATGCAGACAAGTAGAAAAAAAAGTGTTGCAGGAAATATGCATTATTATGATAGTTATCGAAGTAATTTTAGATAAAATCAATGAGTTTGTTAGATAACGCTATGTAATAAGGTATTTCCCCCCACGATCATAACAAAATAGCGCAACGAGCACGTGTTTGAATGCGAAACCGTTCGGCGTCTGCTGGTTTAGTTAAAAACTACTAGGATCTACCAGAAAATAATGGAAACTCATCATCAAGAAAGATGATGTTTAAAAAATTCTGAATTCCAGTGTTGTGTTGACTGCAAACTTGCTGTGTCCACTGAGTTACCCGGTTTTCCATTTACAGTGATTCTTTCCATATATGATATACTTGATCTTTATTCTTATATAGTATTAAAGCCAAATGTGCATTGGAAGTCAGTTTTGACTAAAGGGCCTTGTAAGGTCGTTTCTATAATGCTTTCTTTTTTTACGCACAAAACGAGTCGATGTTTAATAATTTCCCAGGAGCCTGGAATACCTCTAATAAAATATCAATCGATGCGCGATCATTCATAACATAGATTACATTCCTATAAACTAATTGATATTTCTTTCTACTGATAAAACGACGAGTTTATATATACACATATATAATGTATAATGTTTAGTACAAAGGTTTATTGTATATGAGGAGTTTATAGATAAGAAGTAGGTGGGAAATAGTAGGATTGCAATTTATATCGCGTGTGGATTATTACTGGAATTCATTAATTACCGCGTTATGTATATTTTTTGTTTAGTTTCCAGCAATAAAATTTAATTCAGCGTACATTTTCCAATTGCATTCATTTTAGAGTAGATTAATAACTGGTTATCGATAGTTTGTTTAAATAAATATTATCAAGTTTATACTTAATTCAAGTATATTATTACCTTGTAAAATTACTAGTCAAATATTGGAGCATCATATAAAATATTTTCAATTTTTGAAATTAGTATTGAAACAAAATCATAATAAATTGAAATTAAAATCGTCTCTTCGCTCTTCGTGCATGAGAATAATAGAGAGCAATAAAACAAATGAAATAATGAGGTGCATTGTTTATGTGCTGTTAATTTAAAATGATAGACTGAAATGTATTAGCGTGTAATGAAGGACACAGATCACTGGTCACCAGTTTTGGGCCTGTCAGAAGGTCATCTTAAATTAATTATTCGATTCTTTTAGGTACTTACCAAAATTTTTGTTCGCAATGTTCTGTATAATTCTATCTAACTCTTTGTTCTTCCTTCTCCGCTTCAGAACCGGCATGCCCAGAACGGTGTAGTTGTGTTTTCCGTGGCTGTTGAGGAAAAGATAGTATTCCTTGGACTGCTGGATTTGGGCTTTAACGTGCATTCTACCCTCGAGTTCGGATTCACAGTTCATACGTTTCGTCTCGTTTAGGAAGGTAAGTCTTATATTATCGTCGACCGCGTATTGAGTACTTTTGAAACGTTTCACGATTTTGAAGGAAACTGAATAGTTTCGGACACGATTAGAACTCATGCTTTCGGCTTTGGCGAGTACAACTGTGTTGGCTAAGTAAGCTTTCCTTGCGACATCTTGCTCCTGGCAAGGCAATTTGGCGTTTCGTTGCTGATGATGATTCTTATGCTTGTTGGGTGATCTTTGGGATCGCATTATTATTGCTGGGGTCGGACTCTCTGGTCGTAGTAGATCCGTTGGTGGAATTTGGGCGAATTGTTCGTTTGCCATTGGGCGTGTTGTTGATCGCGTGTTCGTTTGAAAAGTGGTATCGAATTCGACCGATGGTGGAATGATGATTGCATCTATCCGACTCGTTGGTGCTGGTTCGAACAGTGCTGCTTGCTGCTTATGTTGTTTCTTGGTGTGTCTAATTCTATGTGGTCTTTGAAAATATTTCTTAGCTAGGTATCTGTCTTTAGTTGATGATGTTTCCGGAGTCCTCTGATGCTTCGCGCTATCGGAAAAGCCACTATTTTGTACCAGTCTACTGAGGAAATCTGAATGGGAATTTAAACTAGTCGATGAGGTATAGGAATTCCTTTTGCTAATGTCTGTCATTGCCAATTTATCTATGCGGAAACCAGAACAACTTAAAATGACTACCATCACTAGAAATATAAAACATACACATTTTTCGTACGATAATTTATACATGTCTAGGGAAGTTCTTCGCGAGTGTCCGTTTCGTTTCCCTTAATTACGGCTCTCAGGGCGCTCTGTTTGTACGATACTTGATCACTGTGGCCGCGTCCAAGTGCCGAATATTCTCTAGCTGTTGGAACTCCTGTTTCAGCGACATCTTCTTCTGATCTTCTTGTCCGCGCTGCTTACGGTTCCAGATGCAACGCGGATCACATTATCGACACAAACCACCAATTTTCCACGCACAGTGTTCTTGCCTTCTGCATATCCCACCCTCATGCGCACTTTCATATACTTCTTGCAAAATCCAATTGTAACAATTTGTTTTCTACTGATTTCTAGTTACAGAATTTCTTGCATCTGCTTGTTATGAACTTTACGTTTAAGTAAGATTTGATTTTTGGCTAAAATATGGTGCATGGCCAGTATGTTTGATTGCATGAGTACAAATATATATATATAAATACTGTGTTGATGTATATGCGCGCTTCTATGTATATGTACGTATACGTCTGAGAGTGTACGTATGCGAGTGTGTGTATGTGCACTAGCGATCGCAACTTTATGTCCTTTGCACTATTATTCCATACTGTGCTGCTAATTACTACAACACCATGATGATTTTTCAACACTTATATCTATTTATACAAACAACAAGTTCGATGTGCCGATTCCATATATAGATACAATAAACGAATAAATCCAAATATAAATATCTTGAGCGGCGATTCAAATGTGCAACGGGGGCAAAACTTTTTAAACTAATATAGCGAAAGTAGTGAAGCGCAACTTAAATATAGTAAAGGATCTAAGTAGGTGCGCGTAACATGAGACGGTGGGGTGTTCTCGCGACTGAAAATCACTGAAACGGTGCGGGGCCTGCAGATGATGATGATGATGGTAGTGGTGGTGGTGGTGACGGTTGCGGCGAAGGAGGATGTGCACCACGTTCGCGGGGCGGCCTCCGACTGAAAGAGGATAGTGGATGGATGATTGGTTCACTCTTTACAAAACACTCGTCGATGTGGTGATAGTCCGCAAAACCAACAATGCAGCTAGCACACGGTGTCGTCGTTGTTCACGGATTGGAAGCTCAAGCTACACTGAGAATATCCTCTTCTGAGCATCTGGTGGCAGACGCTAGAACTGTAGTCACAGATTGCTTCACGTGTAGATAGACAATCGTCGCGACGCCTGTTCACCCAAATCTACCGAACTTCAAATCTCAAAAGGCGCGCTTCGAACTCGCGGCACGCACATTAAATGCAATATGCCGGCAATCTTCTACCAATCCGCGCACACTCATCATGTTATTTTATTATTTGTTGTATTTATTTTTTTGATCGTGGATTTGCAATAACCGGCGCCACTTTATCACCACCACCTATCGCCACTCGTATATCTGATAAATTAGAAAAAAAAAGTTGAAGAGAAAAGTAAAAATTGAATTCAAATTTTCTAATATTTAATATTTAGCCAAATCAAATCACAAACAAACAAATTGCACTTTATTTTATTCGAAACAGATAGGTGCGATTCGAATGATCATTGATAAAATAAAAGAAAAACAAATAACAAATCTTATTACAATTTTCAAGTGTAAATATTTAAAGAAATTAAATCGAAAACAAACAAATTTTATTGGAAATGCGCTCCCAACTGTTACAGAAACTATTGTTAAACAATTTCCTTCATCCCCCAACGAAATTACAAAACTATTCATGTGTGATCCATCCATTGTACAGTTTTCTCTCTTTTGATATAATTTACGAGCATAATGAAACAGCAAGTCATATTGTCTGTGTCGGCCTGTATAAAAAAATTGTATATACACAAACAAGAGAAAAAAAAACAAGAGGCCGAAACAAGACAATTTCCGTTCTAACGTTCCCGTTTCCGGTTCATATTAATTCGAATTTAATTGAAATTAATTTCGGGCCATTGGCTTTGCCAAAACTGCACCCACACCGCCATTGCAATCATTATGTTTTATTTATTTATATCTCGCTTCCATCTCTTACATTCAACTACTTAATTAATATAACATTTGACACTTTTACTATTTCTCATTTCATGTACACACACATTTTTGTCTATAATTTACGCAATTATATAATGCAATAAATTTTAGTTATAATTCAATGACATAATCATAGTTTTATAAATATCTACTACGAATACGACCACCAAAACAAGAATCGTAGTTAAATATAATATGTATTGAACATCAATAAAAATAAATACATAGTGCATAATTAGAATCATAAAAATAAACTATCTATGATATAATTACATTTGTCATAGGTAAAGGAAGTTTAAATTTAATTAATGTGATGTCATGTAAATAAAGTATGTGGATCTGCCAATTAATTATTTGCCTGCAATCTAAAAATATCGAGCTAATCAAATCGATGACACGAGTGCGTACTCGATATTATCTATATATCTAAAATACTTGTAAATGTGCATATGCACTTATCTTACTTCCATTAATATTATTAAATAATGTTCATTCGAGGTTTACTTTAGAAAGTTCATCATTCTTATCTGAATAAATATGAATTCATTACATATTAACAAATAAATAATGAAATATTACTGGAAATGATACAATTGCATTATTGATTTAAAAAATTTTTAAAATTGTTTATTTTTATACAAATGTTTATTTTTTTTGATACATAGCATTTCTACATGAGAAATCGACTTAAAATTTAACATTTATTTAACATCATATATAATTGATAGAAATACGTTATTTGTATAGTACTTATTATAATTCGGATAACACGTGTAAGCAGAAATATAAAATTAGTTGATTCTAATTAATATTGCTAAATAATTATTTGTATTTCATTAGATATACTATAAATTATATTTGTATAATTTGAAAGGTATACAATATGGTGAAAACAACAAGCATGTAATTTTAAGTTTTCAGATAAGATTGGCGTACATATAAGATTGTGAATCATAATTTGTTTTGGATGCTCGACGCATTGAACGAGGATGAAAAATGATGAGAAAAAAAAATGAACACAAAGTTAGCAACGACTGAAGCATGTACAGTCTGCCCGATAAAAGTCTGTTGAAAATAATAACGCGGAAAAACAACTCACCCCATTTATTTTTCAAGGGTGGATGGATGTGTCACGCTTGACGTACGATCGAACTTCATTGCAACCAAAAACTCCAAACCCGAAAATCACTATTTCTACGAACACTCTTCTCAGTTCATCAATGTTGAGTATTTTATCTTATCGCCTAATGACTACTTGTGAATGATATAATAAAAAATGATTCATGACGATTTTTTGTTGATATTTCAAGAAAAAAAAATCGTCAGGCAATCTGCTAATTTTATATGAATATTATAGCTACAATATTAAATAAGCCATTCGACGTCCTCGTAAATTGATAGTACTTAGGGGCGCCTCCAGAATTTTGCGGTGGCGCCAGCATCTCTGGAGACGTCGGCGTCACCTCATACCAACTCTAAATATCAGTTAAGAAAATTCCTGTGTATACCATCATCACAGTAACGTCTGTATTACATAATACAAACACGAGTTAATAAAGACTACTAGTTTTAAAACATTTTAAAGGCACAATATTTTGAAATAATATTTAAAGTTTATCTTTAAAAAAACAAAACAAAAAAAATAAATTTTATAGTAAAGAACATAAATGATTTTCTACTGTAATTACCTTTATGTCAATACAAATACTCATAATAAACAAAATTATGAGTAATTATTTAAAAAAATCTTTCTAACAAATAAAGTTGCTAGTATTTCATCGTTGTTTCCATACTGAAATCTAATGTTGGTCTTGTTTTCGCGAATGGTTTTAGGGTCGTCGCCTTGCGAATAGTTTTATTACGATCGTACGAGACGTGCATTATATTTTACGTCCGTCGAATCGATAACAAAATTAAACGAGTGCACATCGCAATAACCGAATATAGACATTGTTGTTGTTCCATCCGAGTTTGTCTGATTATAACCATAGGAAGTCCGATTATGAATAACTAGACGATATATTTAGTACGTTCAGTCAATAAACGCAAGCACATCTACTTTGGGACATCAAAGCACCGCTATTAATTAGCTTCGGAAAATATTTATTCCCTCATTCTTGTCTCGAGTGCGATTTTCAATTTCACTTCGCTGTTTTCCTTTTCAGTATAATAACCTCTGGATGGCTATTTCGAAATTAGTAAAACCGCGCTTTGCAGTTAAGTTACGCATTCAGGAATCACCGTTCGTTTATGAAATGCTTACATTATGTTTGATCGGGTATTCCATTTATGTGCGATTGTGCAACTTTTATACGAAACTTATACAATTTTATGCATCAATTATATAAAGAAATTGATGAAGCGTATAACTAAATATTACTCTAATTATTAAGTATTAAACTGATAAAAAATACATTTTTTTAATTGAATCGCTATAATTTTGTTGTGTGTTTATTCAAGCCATGAAAAAATGTAATGCTTATTTCCATTTATTATGGTTATTTATTATGAGATTTGGACGGAAATACTTAGTAAATTGAAATAATAATATTTATTGAAATAATCATAGAAAACAAATTATGAAATTTAATTAAAAACAAATCCTTTTTTTCATAAAATAATTAATTATATAATCATAATAATAAAATAAATGATCAAGTTGTCTGTCGACTAAGGTTTTTCTGTTCAAATATTTCTATAGATTAATATCAATACGTTTTTTCAATTACTTTACCTATAATATATTTTTAGTAAGTGTGCTGAAAATTAATAGATAGTTTGTCAACAAAGGTCAAGAAAAGTTGACACTGTCTGGACAAAACAAATAAATGTCAAGCCGCAATAACTTATAATCGGGTGCACTAGATTACCACCATGGGCCTTGGTGTAAATTGTAAAACAGTTAAGTGCGACCCTATCGTATAACATATGAGCCCTTCCAACCCCATACTGCGCTGGCACCGTCTGTGTCTCCCGGTAGTTGCATCTCTATCTAACCTGCATGTTTCGTAATACCCTTCTTGAAAAGGAATAATAATTTGCATTAAATAAACGACTAAATAGATAATTACATAAGACCCATGTGTCTACGATACGTCATGCATATCGTTGAATCTAGTTACAATTCGGTAACTAGTTTTATAAAATTAATTAAATTGTTTTCTAGCTTTATTAGTTTGAATAAAATTAAAAGTATGTGTTAAGAGGTTTTCCTTGTAAATATTAATGAACACAAAAGTCCTTCATTAAAGTAGTGTATTTCAACATAAGAATGATTGTAAAAAAATCTATTAATTTTAAATTTTAAAATGTTACTAATCATAAATAATCTACACCAAATTTTGCTTAACTTTTAAACCATTTTCTTCTTTTTTTTTAATCCAATCCGTTTATTTTTTTAAATTTTCTTTATAAATTAATTAAATTAAGTACAAATAATTTAAAAGAAATAACAGTATTTCATTAAACCGATAAAAAACGTATTTATGTAATTATAATAAGAAATCTATTTTGTAAATTAATTTAATGTTAAGTATTGTTTCTGAAAATATCATCGTTTAACTAAATGACATAAATTACTTAAAATAACTTTCCCAAACTTTGAAACGTTTTTCTATTCTATTGATAGCATCGGTATTCTGTCACTTTGAGTAGTAATATCCGTCTATATTAGAAGGTTTCTCTTCTTAATGATTATTGAACAAGAATTAATTCAGGTTTTTTGCATTACTTGAATGAGTAAATTTTGAAAATTACAAATTTATTTTATACTAGCTAAAACAAAAATCTTCATATCTTCACTAAAACCATTTTAATCCTATATCAGTTTAATTATTATGAATAAACTTGATCAGGCTTGATCATTATATAAAAAGAAAGCAATACATCGACAACGACACAATGCAGTTGCGTCTTCGGAGACGGATGGGGATATCGAACGTCCATCAACAGACACACACACATATATACATATAGGTTATTTTGCGCATTGTGTTATTTCCAATATTAACCTGGCCGCTTTCTTTTTGCACCATAATCATAATATAATTTATTTTTTGCAATATTGAATCGCGTATGCTTATTACTTAAGCATGTGCTCACAACAA